CTCCCACCCCTGCCACTCCTTACTCGTTCTTTAGTCTTCTCAGCTGGGGGATTTTGCTGAGGTTCAAAAATGCTGCTTTAAGTATTGTCTCTTCCAGAAAGAAATGTTTTCCTGCTCTTTCCAACACTGGCTCAGGTACTTCCCTTAATGTTGCCACAATACTACTGAGAACTTCTTGAGAACTTTGTACGTTGGTGGTTAAGAGCTTTTGGTTCTTGAAGTAAGAATTTCTGATTTGGAATCCACTTCCACAATTCTTGTCCTTTGGCAAGTTACTGAGCCTTGATTTCTTATCTGCAAAACCGTATCTAGGCGGAAAGTGGTGGGTCACGCCTGTCATCCCAGCACTCGGGAGGCCGAGGAGGGAGGATTGCTCAGGTCAGGAGTTCGAGACCAGCCTGAGCAAGAGCGAGACCCTGTCTCTACTAAAAATAAAAGAAATTAATTGGCCAACTAAAAATATATAAAAAATTAGCTGGACATGGTGGCACATGCCTTGTCCCAGCTACTCGGGAGGCTGAGGCAGGAGGATGGCTGAGCCCAGGAGTTCGAGGTTGCTGTGAGCTCAGCTGATGGCACTCTGGCCCAGGCAACAGAAATGAGACTCTGTCTCAAAAAAAAAAAAAAAATTGGTATCTAATTCATGGGATTGTTATGAGGATGGAATGAAATGTACATGTACATGCACGTAAAGTGCTTAGCACAGGACGAGGTACCCAGCATACAGTAGCTGCTACTGCCACTGTTGTCATCGTTACTGTGTTGATTATGATTTATTACTCTAGTTCTCGGATCAGATTTGGGTTTACCAAGAAGCCAATGAAGCTGAAACTTGAGGACCCCTCATTTTGCCTGGGGCCCTTCTAAAGCCCTATATCTAATTCTGTATTCAAGAGTTTATATTTATTGTCCGAAAGACTGTTCCTTTCCCCCTTGCATAAGCTCCAGGCCCTGTAGAATTTAGAGCAGCCCCTGGCCGGGGCCTAGCCTAAAACCTGACAATTTGGGGCACAGTGAGTATTCATTGACACCAATGAGCCAACCAGGACTGTAGCCTCTTCAGCAAGTTATTAACCGGCCTGCAGAGAAATGTGCTAATTCATTGTTATCTGTTTTTTTAAAAAAAAAAACTTTCATTGCTTGGACTCCCATTACTGCTTCTCTTCCTTGGTGGGGGCGTTTAGAAGCACCTGCCATCCAGGAGTGAATAGCAACCCCCTCCTCTTGTTCTTTCCCCCCTCTCCCTGCCGTGGAGAGGGTCCATTGTGGACAGAGACAATGGAGGAGGGAAATATATGCTAGTCAACAGATTATTACCGAAAGAATGTCGGA